ACATCTGAGTTTTTGCCTCAACGACCACCCGAGCTGCAATACGCTTGGACTGCTGATATCTATCGGCTGCTTCCGGAGTCCCACAGGCCAAAAATACCTGATAGGACTCCTTCTTCAGCCTGACAGCATCCCTCACCGCCGGTGTCCACCAGCGGGTTTAAGGGTTGTCACCACGACAGGCACTGACAACCTTACGGCCACAGCTCAGGTAAGACGCCTCGACAATGGAGGCACAGAACATGGCCCACTTGGACTCAATGTTCCCCACCTCCCTAGTAACGTGTTCAAAGTTCTCCCAGAGGTGTGAGTTGAAGCTCTGTCTGAAGGGAGACTCTGACAGATGTTCCCAGCAGACCCTCACTCTACGTTTGGGTCTGCCAGGTCTGACCGGCATCCTCCCCCACCAACAGAGCCAATTCACCACCAGGTAGTGGTCAGTTGAAAGCTCCGCCCCTTTCATCTGAGTGTCAAAGACATGCAGCCGCAGATCAGATGAAACGACAATAAAGTCGATCATCGAACTGCGGCCTAGGGTGTCGTGGTGCCAAGAGCACATATGGACACCCTTATGCTTGAACATGGTGTTTGTTATGGACAATCCATTACATTATTTCTGCTAGCCCTGAAGCACTAACTCAAATATTTAGGTCCCCTAATTGTAAAGCACTAATGCACTGAAAATTTAGCAAAAGCTAATTCTAAAGCACTAAAATAACCCTATCAACACATGAAACATTCTTCAACAGACAACTTGAGTCACATATTGCCATGTATAAAGATTTTATAGATTTAGGTATTTAAAACAGGGACAATATAGAGTAAAGATGCACTGTATCAGGTTATAGCTCTAGGTGCTAATTTCCAGCCGACACAATAATATAAAGATAGATTAAATAAAAGATCAAATGAGAGCAGCTGCAGCAGAGAGCAGAGTGATGCATGTTGCTCTCTTAAGACTTATCATTGACATTCCACAGCTGTATTTGAGTTCATATGTCATCAATATGTCACCTAGTGAATAAGTGACACACACATGAACAAAATGTGCGATAGCTTTCACCCTCAGTTATTAACATTAACGTTGATCAATAACATTTATAGACCTCAGTTGGTGCTTCTAAATTTAGCCTATAAATAAGTGCTAATCCACTAATAAATGTTAAAATTAGCAAAAGCCCTAAAGCACTAATCAGGAAATGATTTTCAGATCTAAAAGTCCCATCTGACCCCGAGCCTGTGTGTGGCCCATAGCAGTCTGCATTGTTCATCATTGGAGTTTCACTTGTGGATGCAGTTTAGTTGCACCCCAAACACAATGCTTTTTTTGTTAGACATGGGAAAATCAGAAGCAAGTCTGGTAGGTGAAAAAAAAATCTGTCTCACAGCACACTAGAATCTGGGACTGTTCCAATAACTGCAGGACCTGGAGACAGAATTGTCAAAAAATATAATTTTGAGCCAAGTTTTAAGATAGAGATTGAAGACGGGTCTGCCAGGAGTAATCTCTCTATGGTGGGATTATCTCCCAGTCATTCCCGTTTTACAGATGGATCCCTTCTGAAGGGGTCAGTGGGTGCAGGGGTGCTGATTTTGCACAACCACAGTGAGAGAGAGCACAAATACCTACTCGATGGTTTTGCAACTGTATCTCACAGTGTCACAGAAATAAAAAATCTAAAYCATATTCATCTCTCTCTAGTCCTGCTGTTGTTTTCTTTTGGTTAAATATTTTTAATTTAAGTGATGTGGAAGAAATGGGGAAACAACTCTGTTAAATAATTTCTATTCAGAAGTAGAGCAATTAGACACAGCAATACAGCCCTGTCTATCTGATGTGCCAGTCCCCTGCTGGCTCCCACAGATGCAAGTGGTGTCAGATGTGGTCCTGAAGAATCAATAAAACATTTTAAATGTCTCCAAAATCTGTCTGGCACTTTGGAGAGAATAGACAGTCTTGCATGCATAGCTGATGTGCTCAATAAATCTCAACAAAATAAAATTAGATTAAAAAAATTACCTAATCTACCGGTATGTCTGAATAAAGCTAYTGATTATATTCACTTCCTGTTGACCTAATTATTTACAGAAACAAATTAAACTTCAGTTAAAGCATAATTTCAGTTGTTTTGTAGTTTGAGATCTTCATATTAATATTTTAGTTTTAACAGCAATAATAACCATKTTAAATTATATTGTTAGTCTACATTAATACATTTAAAATTGTAATTCAAATTCAAACAGAATAATGTATTGTCAACACATAACGTATACTATATCAGTTATATACTGAGAATTTCAGTAGAATTTTGCATAATTTTTTTTTTTTTTATGTATAGGATTTGGCTATCAGTCGGAGCTGGAGTTGCGAGTGGCAGAGGCTGCCAGGAGGCAGTACACCAAGCTGAAGATGCAAACCAAGGCTGAAATTCGACAAACCATTGATCAGCTTCTTGTGGGAGAGTTTATTGTAAGATTTGCTGAAGTTAGAAATGAAACAGTTTGTCAGCCAATTCATTTTTATTTGTATTGACCACTGTAAAAAAAAATTANTATATATACACTGCTCAAAAAAATAAAGGGAACACTTAAACAACGCACGCTAACTCCCGATCTTAATCAATGAAATATTCGCATTGAGTACTTTGTTCTGTACAGAGTTGAATGTGCTTCACAAAAGTTTGATTTACTTGGACTTAGCTTGCGTTGTTTAAGTGTTCCCTTTATTTTTTTGAGCAGTGTATGTATGTATATATAAATTCTGTGATTGACTGCTTGATATGGGCACCAGTGACCCCTACGGGTATAGCTTATGTATGTATGTACAGTATGCATGTATGCATGCATGCACGCACGGACGCATGCATGCATGCATGGACGCACGGTATATAGTGCTTTCAAACTTTCCCTTGTACTGTCTTTTGGGGAGAATCATTTACGCATTTACTTTTGACTGTTTTTAACCATGTTTTTTGAAAAGTTTTTTTTTGAGTACGCCTAGCAATCTTAATTCTTTTGGTATTTTTTCAGATTTTTTTTATCATGATCTCAAAACCTCACAGTAACTTTACTACACACTTGTTCCTCAAAGGAAAAATCATCCTCCTTGAAAACTGTTGAAAAAAACATCTTTTAATCCCGTTTTTATTGTATCTTATAACATTTTTTATAATAATGTTTAGGATTTTTCTTACCTCGATCCCTATACTTTAGATTTTTTTATTRGCTCACTAGATGGTGACATTTTACATTTTTAAGCTGTTGTAAAAAAAAAAAAAGAAACCATTCTGGACTTATAAATGCACAAAGCGACCAGATCACACATCATTCGATACAATACTGTGGTTGCTGTGAAAACCCTTTTATGCTGTTAAACAGACCCAATTTATTTRCTCTAAACTGATTAGTAGTAAACGTTCCTTTAAGATTATTTATGAGCTTTTTCATATGTATCTTAATACTTTTACCAATATGACCTAAAATAATCAAATATTTGGAATTTCCTGGCTTGCTCAGTTCATTTTTGTKGTTAAAAGCAGGTAAGAATAATAATCACATTACACTGAAGGCCTAAACAATAATGAAAGTGGTAATAATATTTTATTGGTAAACTTAAAATTTCACTTTCTATTCCTCTTGCTCGTAAAAAGTCTTACCATGCATTTAAATTCTAACAGTTAATCTCATCCAGTGTTTTTCAGATTCACGGGGAAAAAAGTAAAACATTGATGTACAAAAGATATTCTATATCTGACCACCAAGCAATATATGGAAGTTGGGCCGAAACAGAGCATCATTTTTGGCTACTGGATCCAGAGTGTCCAGGAATCCTAATCTACTAATGGGGATTTTTTTTCTAAAATGGCCATGGAATAAATATTTTGTCAATTAAAAAAACTGAAATGAGGATTTTTTTTAAACTAAAAACATTTAAAAAGGTTTGAATTTTTAACAAGTCAGTTAAACTTGATATTTTATTTCAGGCTAAGGTAGCTCTAAAAAGATGATTAGTTTATTTCAGAAAAAAAGCATTATAAGGCAAAAATGTAAAATGGTCTGTTTTTTTCTACTAAGGAACATGAATGGTCAAAATTAAATGACAATACAAGGGTTAATCAACTGACAAGTAGAAGAATGGAGATGCAGCTGCTACTACCCTACTTTAGCTCAAAACTTAATTTCTAAGTGAAAACAATTTTCTATATATTATTTGAACATGTACATGTGCTTTTAAAGCTTGGTAAATAAGTTTATTTGAGTTAGATATTTTATACTTTGTTAAAAGAAACAAATGCATTAACCAACAAAAGTGAAGTATATCAGCTATCAGCTGCCCTGTTAGTAAAAAAAAAATCAACATTAACCATAGAAAATCTCATATGAGCATAAATAACACTAATGTTCCTTGTAGGAAAACAGTAAACGTTGGACCATGAAACTGGACATCTGTGCACCTCAGGTGGTTTTCCCAGATGACTTTCAGTCAGCCGACCCAATGCTKGTTGTGGTGGATTTAGGCAGAATTCTTCTTACAAACTCACAAGGTAAAGCCGTCACCTATTTAACCTCTTTAATTCCATTTTAGAAAGTATATTCTAGTTTTCTTTTTTGTCAGATAAGATTTCCCAATTTTCACCTGCTTCAATGCTCTTCTTTTTTGAAGGGAATGGTAACACCAGCTTAAAAGCTACTCAACCTGAAAGTGAAGACATGAGTGATGATGAGTACAAGACRCCTCCTGCAACCCCACCTGAGTCTCCAGCACCTGAATTTGACACACCTTTAAAAGTAGCTAAAAGCCCTGAACTTCCTAACCTTGCATTCCAAGAGGGAGGTCAAGCCTATAGCAAAAAATTGTATGAGAAATACTCMTTGTCCTTTAAAGACCTACAGATAATGGTTGGTCACTATAAGGACAACTGGAAACATCTTCATGAAAGTGAAGTAGGCCCTACCCATGTTGTAGAAAAGTTCAATGTGCTACTGCAGCTTGAGCAGAGACTACGCTACACATCCGACCCTCAGTTACCCGGGGCTGTTCTTTCAGGAACTCTGCCAGATCTCAAGGTCCATGTTAACCTTGAAAAAATGACTGCCCTTAGAAGTTGTCTTGCCAGGCTAAGCAGTCCAGCTGTGAGTGAAGGGGACATAACGTCAGAAAAAGATCCTAGTGTAATGTCCCCAGATCCTCTCTCACTCCGACATGACAAGATTTTTYACAGAGTGGACAGTTCCTGGAAGCTGCAGGATTCATCCAAGTATCTGACCCAGAGTGTGACGACATTAGAACAACACACACGTGAAGTACTGGTGGAATCACGTCTTCTGTTAGCTGAATTTAATATCGTCTATATGCAGCTTGGTGTAGAAAGCGATGGTCGCTACATATCTGTTCTCAAGGTATTTGGCACAAATGCTCATTTTGTCAAACGACCCTATGATGCTGAGGTTTGTCTGACTGTTCATGGCCTGCTCCTTGTTGACACTTTACAAACCTATGGTTCAGACTTCGACCTTCTTGTTGCTTCTCATAAGCATCTGAGTTTTGACATACCCACTGGCAGCCTGAAAGAGAGYCAGCCATCTTCTCCCATCACATGTGATGACAGGTCTCCTGAGCATCAGGGGAACCATTCTGAGTTACCCACCAGTTTAAACATAGGCAGCTTGTCCCCAGTCAGTTCTGTCCTCAAAGATGAAGAAGCCCTCATTAAGCTTGAGTACCAGTTTGTGAGCTCAAACTGTCCTTCTATGAACCTTGATAGCTCCCTTCAAGTTATAAGCATGCAGGTCAACAACTTGGACATCATCCTCAACCCTGAGACTATGGTGGAGCTTGTTAAGTTCCTTCAAAAATCTTTCCCGAAAGAGGAAAGCACCTGGATACCATCAGCTCAGCAACGTACAACACAGAGTTACAATAAAGAAGAGGACAGAGCATATCAGGCCACCTATGACCAGAACAAAGAACTAACTGTGGAGATCAACCGCCTCAACCTGCTTCTACTTCGGACTGTGTCCACTGGCACTTCCTTGGGTGCTGAGAAAAAAGGACGGAAGATTGCCACTGCCAGCATCACTGGTACCAAGGTCACTGTATCTCTTGGAAGTCGTTTGGACATCAGTGGTTCTCTTGGATCTATGCATCTAGTTGATCTAACCCAGGACAAAGGCCGTAGCCAGTTTGTGGTGAGCATTGGGAGTGTTGATGACAGCTCTTCAAATYTTGATGGAACACCACTCTTCTCTGATACAAAACATCCTTCTACAGATGCTTTGAACTTTCAACTTMAGGAAAAATCTCAAGGAGAGTGTTCCTTGCAACTTGACATGGCATCATTACACTACAACCATTCAGCCAAGTTCCTGCGGGAGCTCAGTCTTTCAGCCAATGAACTTGAAGACAATTTTCGCTCCATGCTAAAAATKGCTGCTACCAGAGTGTCAACTGTTTTAGCTACCAAAACAGCAGAGTACAGCAATATGTTTTCACTCTTTGAAACTCCCTCACGGAGAACAGAAACATTGAGTCAGAGTTTTGCATATCCATTTGAGGAGGAGGAGGATGATGTTCTCGCTGAGGAGCCTGAATCTACTTTAGACAAATTTTTGGTGAAGTTGACCCTAAATATCAACATTGACTCGCCTGTTGTGTCAATTCCCCGTAAACCTGGACACCCTGAGCTGTTGATTGGTCATCTAGGAAGCATAACAATTCAAAATTTTCTTGACAGCCAAGACTCGGAAGGAGAGAGGCTGCAAGTKTTGGTAAAAGATATCCGACTGTATTCACTCAATATGTGTCATTTAGATTTGAAAAGGGTGTTCAAAGGGACCAATGCTGATGGTTTGTCTCCACCCCATGATGAAAGCATCAAACAGGAAGAAGCACAGTTCACACGTCATGACTTCTTTGAATCTCTCAATTGTGGAAAAGGTGAGATCATCACTAGTGCTGAGTTTTTCTAAGTTTTTTTTTTCAAGGGTTGGGTACACTATAAAAACAAACAAATAAAATGAAGCTTGTGTTGTTTTTAATATGTGTGCTATTCACAGTATTTCTTTTTGTTTCCATCAGCTTTCCATATTCTTAAAGACACTACTGTACAGTTTAACCTGGAAAAAAAATCTGTGGATGAAAATTCACAACTGACTTTACTCACTACAGAAGAGCCCTACAAGAGCACAGGGCAACTGAAAATTGAGAGCAAGTTTGTCAGTCCTGTTCAGGTAAGCATGTCAGCTCACTCTTTTTGAGACCTATAGACCACTGAAGAATTTACTACATGCAAAACATTTCATATCAGTCAGTACTTCGAGTGTGATTCCCTGACATTGTCACTTGGCATCATTAAACTCCATATTGAGGGAAAAGAACCTTTAGCATCATCCAAAATGACGTGACAAATAAAAAGAAAACAAAAATATAAAACAACCTGAGTAATAAATTACCTTGCTCTCTGCCATCATTGTAGCCATTACTTGTGAAGCAAATAACATTTCCACACTGTAGCACAGCTCTGCTAAAACATGGACACCCCTTACATCACAGCTGCAACCATGGGAGGCTGTACAAAAAAAGAAATCTTCTGCAATTATTAAAACGGTTGCATAAACTGGACTTTAACTAGGAAGGTCAACCCTACCCACTGTAATTCCAACCATGGCTACAACAATGCAATACAATATATTTTAACGCAATGCTCTGCTCTCACAATGACAGCAGTGGGAAGGAAAAACTCTATTTTAATAGGAAGAAACCTCCAGCAGAACCAGGCTCAGGATGTGCGGCCATCTGCCTGGACTGGCTTGGTTTGAGGGGATGGGAAAGAGACACAAACACAGAAGGACTGGTCCAAGTGTATTTTCTTCTGGAAGAGAGACAAAGAAAACACTTGTTATACTTACAATAAACATGTAGAGGAGAGAGACYAAAGACAACAGCAGAGTGAGGAAATGTGGACAGTTTGTGCTCCAGCAGTCTAAGTCTATAGCAGCAGAAATGAAGAATAATTCAGGAAACCTAAGTCTAACTA